CCATAAAATACGCTGCACACATCTGAATATTTGGGTTGAAGTGTTCTGGAACAGTGTTGTAAATACAACTTAACCACTGATTTCTAGTTGTGTCCTCTTTTGGAAGGCCAAACTAAGTAGTTTCGCTTTCACAATGAAACACAGCGTCACACACGGTGGCCTAGAGTGAGTGGCGGCTGGCGGCTAGGGTGAGGAACGGCCGGCTTGGGAATGGCGCGGCCGGCGGATTCGACGAAGGTGCGTCCGGCGGGCTTGCGGCAACCACATGTGAGGACCCCGGGCTGGACTCCGCTTCGTCCACGGTGAAAGCCGATCCGGCGAGTGAGATACACACACATCTGCTTCTCCAGGATCAGCAGCTCATTAACTCCCGCTCATTAGGGCCCTCTGTTCACCTGCTCTCCCTCCGACACCTGCGTCTAATGCTGGACATGTGGTGACGAGCCCCAGGCTCCAAATTAACACAGGCCTAATGACTGAACATGAGAGATAATGTCTATCCTTGAGGTTGACAGGTGCATTGCATCTGTCTGAGACAGGCTTGAAGACAAACTTAAAATAACATTCACCCTATTTACTTAATTAATAAAGTCTTATTGTGCATGATTAATTGCTGCATGTTTTTCTAAAGAAAAAAGGTTTATTCTCATAATGTTTTATTAGATATATATTTTGTTAGTAACTTGCTCAGCATTTTTGCTCATGTAATCAACACCATTATTATGTAATGTAATATAATGTAATATAAAATAATGAATTAGAATTGTGTCCTACTAAATATTGTTGTGCCATGTCACATTATCAAGGCTAAATGTGTTGCTAATATGGTTTCATGTTGTCTTTAATAGAGAAAGACCATTGACATTTGACCATTATTTTTATCTGTATTCACACTTTTTAACTTATTGGTTCTTTAATATCAGGTCAACCAATAAATGGCACAATAGTGAGTCTCTAAAGAACAGGACTCAATATATATATATATATATATATATATATATATACTCTAGAATAAAATGAGTCATTTTGCACAAAAAAATCTACATAATATAAATATGGGGAATCTATATACAATGAAAAATGTGGTGTTGAAAAAACATTCACTCAGAAACTGCTAGTAAAACAGCAAATAACACATTGAATTTAACATGAAATTTTGAAATCGAAAGATTGAAATAATATTTTCTTGTAAAACATATTCCAATAATGTTTGCTTTGACAACTTCAAAAAAAAATTATTTTTTCGTTTAACAATGTTAATCGTTCATATGTTTCAGTTGGATCAGCTGGTCATAGATTCAGCTGTGGAGAAGAGAGAGATGGAGCACAAACATGCCACCATACAGCAAAGAGTGAGAACATCATCGCTTCCTTCATTATTTTCCATATCTTTTCTTTTATCTTCCCCCTTTGACCTTCTATCTTTCTTGTCTACCTTTTCGCTCTCTTCTGTTGTATCTACATTATGTCTCTTTCTCCTCCTCTTCTAACGCTCTTTTTCCATCTAATGGGTGATGTGAAATGAATTCCAGCCATCAAAGAAACAAAAGAACAGTTTCCTCTCAATACATGAAACCCATGTCCCATACAGTCTTCCCACCTCAGGTCCTCAATTTAATCTGGCTCGACAGATCTAGATGTGACTACTGAATTATTAACCCTAAAATAAAAAGTGGTAGGAAGTAGTTTTCTGCTGAGAATCAGGTGTCAGGTGACGTTATTTCCTCTGAAGCACCGACACGCTTCCTGTCAGATTTATATCTATTGTCCTATCACTCAACCCCATTGCCCTCATGTTCGTGACAGTTCGCATAAACCTCAGCGTGTCTGAACTTGGCCGCTAGCGATAACGGTTCTAGAAGAAACACTCTTCCTTCATGTGCTTGTGGTTCAGCTACAGATGTTCACCTCCGTTTGTGTCGTTTGTTTGTTGTGCGTTTGTTCAAAGTGCTTCATCACCATATCAATAAAGGATGATATGTCCTGTCCTGTCCAGATCTCTCCGGGAATTTGGCCACACACACACACACACACACACACACGCTCTCTA